TATTGTTCCCAAACCAGAAGAGGAGGTTGCACAGAAGAAAAAGATTTCCCAGAAGAAACTGAAGAAGCAAAAACTCATGGCTCGGGAATAAATTAAGCTTAAAATAATAAAAGTTAAAGCAGAAAAAAATAAGTTCTGGAAAAGTAAGGTTATATACATATTTTTATGTAAACACATATACACATTTTAACTGGTAAAACCAAAGAATCCCATAGGGGGAAAAAAAAGAATACCAAAGGACTTTATTTGAAGGGAGAGCTTGGATTTATGTTTTCTAATCTTTGAGAAATAGGGAACAGTAAGTGTTTTTACTATTTTATTTCAGTGTCAGTTATAATAATGAAGACTTATGAATGGCAGTGGAGAGAATGGCCATTTTGCAAGATAGATGTTTGCAAGGCTTTTTCATTGCTATATCCAATCACAAGGTTTCATATTTTAATGGTATTTTCATTTGATGTATAATGGCCCAAAGAATTATGATGACAGTAAGTTGGGGGTCTTAAAGATAAAGAACTTAATTTACTATTATAGTTATGCCAAACTCTTTTCAGATTTAGTGGTAAATTCATCTGAGGAATTTTATAATAGTGAAAAAGTTCATTGATATGTTTTGTGGGGAGAACATCAGGGAAAGAGAGATGGATCCATCCAATATCTATTTATATGACAAGAATTAAGCAAAATAGCTTGAAAACTTTTACAACAAGAATTCCCAATCCAAAGGAGTTGTTTCTAGAGAACAGTGGGAAGAAATGGTATTGAAATAAATGATTCTGTTTCAGAACTGGGCAGTCTCACCACAGCTAATTTGATGGAGAAGGTACGAGGTCTACAGAACCTGGCTTATCAGCTGGGTCTGGATGAGTGTAAGTACCCAGATCACATTTATTCAGGGTTGCTGACTGTATTTTCCATGATGAGTCCTAGTTATAAGACAGAAATTATCATTATTAGGAAAAAGTTAGATATTCTCATAAGAAGTTGATGTAATCTAAAATGTTTCTTTTATAATAGAATGTATAGAATAATTACTTGACTTAATAGGTAACAGATTCTTTTCCTCTGTACATTAAAAGCATATTAGAACCCTCCCACTTTTAAGAGGACATCATTCTCATAATTCAAAAAGTCCAGGATATAAATTGCTTTGGGACTATCCAGATCCATGAATATGAACGGTGTCATTAGGATGCGCACTTACTCTTGTTTCATATCTCAAGGCTCTGCTTCATTGATACATTAGTCTAGCTGGGTAAAGTAGCCAAAAGGAGTTCCAATTTATGGGCCTTTAACTCCTATGATCCTAAAGGAAGAATGAGTCTTTCTTTTTCAAAAGCATTCCAGAAGAAAGATTCTGTTGCATCTTCCTTCTCATCTTCATCCTTGATGGGCCAGACATAGGCCCTGGGTTTGTTCCTGGGTACAGAGTGGTAGGATGAGCTACTCCAGTCATATGGAATAGGGAAGGGTTAATTCCCCATAGAGAAAGATAAAGGGCAGCCTAGGAACGTATCTGCTATAATGGGTAATGCTTTAGAACATTTATGCTTGTCCTTTTTTCTTTTAGTTTATAATATTTTTTTATAAGTTAAATATATTCCCATATTACATTCATTAAAAAACTGGAAAAGGAATTATAGAGAATTCTTACTTTGCAATTTCAAGGAAAGCTGCTCATTCAGTATAAGTACAATCGCTTGAACTTTGTTCTTGAAGTATATACCTGAGACCATCCTAAGTCATCAATTTTGAGAGAACTATAGTTTACAATTTTGTTTAGAGATAGAGATTTTACACTGCTAACAATCCCAAACATAGTTCCAGGAATTATTTCTTTTTGGAGCATGAAGTGGGTTTATTCACATCATTGACCTCAGTTTACTGCCTACCAAAGTTAATGCTTTATTTTAAAATATTTAACTTTTAACTTCTGGTTTACTACTGTTTTCCTTTTGTTATCCCTCTTTATGTTTCTTATTTCCATTACTGTCATCAGCAGTTGGCTTTTTTTACCAAGAAAAAATTTTTTAATCATTTTAGGAATCAAGCAGTAGAGAAGAAAAATCTACTTTGGCATAAGATTGGGAAATAGTCTACTCGATTCACTCACTGCTTTTTTTTTTTTTTTAACTGCTTCTTAACTTTAAATACTAGGCACTTACTTCCTATGATAGTTTATATGTTGACAAAATTACTAATTACCATGTATGTTATGAACCTCTAGGAAGCCCTGATAGCATAGTGGTTATACATGGGGCTTCTAACCTCAATGTCAGCCGTTTGAAACCACTAGCTTTACCATGCAAGAAAGACAAGGCTTTCTGCTCCTCCTGTGAAGAGTTACAGTCTCAGAAACCCACAGGAGCAGGTCCACTGTGTCCTGTAGTGCTGCTCTGAGTCAGAATAGACTTGATGACTGAGTTTTTTGGGAGGATTTATAATGAAAAGGTTAATCCATGAATATTAAAGTGAACAATATGAGGATGTTATTGTATAGGCTTGTATAGAATTTCTTGGTTTCTTTTCTAGCTTTGGCTAATAGACACATAAAATGATCCTTAATTAATCTCTCTAGTTTCATGACATGAAATAAATTTTATGCTTATGTAAAGAGGGTGTTATATTGCCTAATGTAGTT